CAGATATTTTTTAAAAAAAGAAAAAAAACACCTCTGAAGCTCTGTTTGGGGGCTTCTTTTCTGAAGCTGTTGAGGGGCTTATTTTCTGAAGCTTCATTTCTGATGCTTTTTTCAGCATCTGAAACCTCCGTTTGAGAAGCTGGGTGGGGCTACATATGGAGTATAAGATGAAGCCAGATTTTCACCCTCTTTTTGGGGGGAAAAAGGTGTGCCTTATACTCCAAAAAATACGGTACATAAATAAATAAAATAGAGGAGATCCTGACTGTTAGCTTTCAGTAAGTGAGTTTTTGGGAATTAAATGATTCCCAAGATTAAGCCTGTTACCAAAAATAGAAACAAGGCAAAGGAAAACTACAATGATCCCCAAATTTTCTTGATAGCAGAGATTCAATCTTAGCTATGCTGTCATCTCAGTTGATGTTTGAAGGATGATCCACAGGAAATTTGGTGTATTTTTCAGTATTTGAAAAGAGAAAAATAGCGTTTACCATAAAGCAGATGTCAGGATTCCAACCGATGCCCTAATTCAATCATGAGCCTCGAGCCAAGCTTCAAAAGAAATCCAATTATTTATTAGGAGCTTCATGTCAGCACGTACCAAGTGAAGCCAACTCTGACCTCACGTAATTTACGTTCCAGCTCTGACCCTGTTTTCCCCCTCCCCCCAAGGTGTGTAATCAGTCACAATTTTCCATCGAAGCAATTTTGTGGGTTGTAGAGATCACTCCTCTCTGGCCACTGTGGATAACCATGGAGACAGCCTTAACAGAGAGATGGCTGGAATGTGCTTTTGTTTTGACTGACATGCTGCCTCACTCTAGCTACAGAGTTAGTTTTCCCATCCCCCTTGCCAATGGCAACTCAAGAGCAGGCCAGAGATGCTTTCTGAGTTGACAGCAGATTTTTCTTCCATCAGATTCACTGTTGGAGTGAAACTTTTGATGGAGTGGATGAAAGTGGACAAAGATACCTACAGGAAAGAAGGGAAGGAGAGAAAAGAGGAGTGGACGGGAGGGGAGGGGATGGGAGGGGAGGGGAGGGAAGGGAAGGGAAGGGAAGGAAAGGAAAGGAAAGGAAAGGAGAGGAGAGGAGAGGAGAGGAGAGGAGAGGAGAGGAAAGGAAAGGAAAGGAAAGGAAAGGAAAGGAAAGGAAAGGAAAGGAAAGGAAAGGAAAGGAAAGGAAAGGAAAGGAAAGGAAAGGAAAGGAAAGGAAAGGAAAGGAAAGGAAAGGAAAGGATGAGGTTTTCTTGGAATCTCCTTTCCTGGATGGAACCATTTCTAGGGACAATCAAAATTCATGATTTGCAGGAGATATTTATGGAAGCAAAGTATTTAAGACTCAGGGTGAAATGCTACTCATGAGATTTTCATTTTGGAAGAGGGGTACAGATAGACTTTTCTACCTGTTGGATCAGTGTGAAAGAACCAGAGATGTTTCATGTTGAGCATCTCTGTTTGAGGTTATATAGCAAGGGAGAAATTTCTTAGAAACTCTTTGACTCTTTTCTTTGACTCTTCCAGATAGAAAAGGGACATGTTACATGAATGGGTCGATGGATGGATGGATGGATGGATGGATGGATGGATGGATGGATGGACATCTGGACATCTATTTGATTTGTATGCATTCAATTCCAGACAGATGCACAGCAGCTCACAATAAAAAAATAAAGTATCCACCCTAAAACATAAAGTTCTGAATAATAAGGAATGCAGAGTAAGTCTAAGGCCACATCAGCATCATAATATTCAAAAGTCCACAGTAAGAAAACAGTAACTTCATCACGTCAAAAGCACAACTTTATAAAATAAACCAGTCACATATAATAGCATAAAAGAAAAACAACTGGAAATCAACCCAGCAGAATGATAGGTGTCCCAAATGCCCACAGAACAATTTGGTTGTGGATGCTTTCTGGGAATCCACTACGTTGAGTTACATCGGGACTTTTTCAGTTGGATCCCAGTTCCCCCTGCAGGGAGGACTTTGCAAAACTCCTCCTTCCCCAGCTAATTATTAGAATGATAGTGATTTCTTTCTTGCCTTCTTGCTAAATGTCAAGGGATTCTTTTTCCCTCTGGAGATTGTCTGAAGGAAGTCAACAGACTCAGCAGCAATACATTCAGCATCAGAAAAGTGAGTGTATAAGTTGTCTTGTCACCCTGGAAAGCTGGACTGAGCTTCATGGACACCAGGAACTCTGCTTCTGCATTAGTCCAGTTTCCATCATTGGGGAAGTTCTCTCTGGACTTCATATTATATTAGAAAAGTCAGTCTTGCAGCAATCTGCTTTCAACGTCTCCAAATGCTTCTGCTCTCCTGATTCTGAGATCAGATGCAAGGAAGGGGATTCTTCGGCTAACCCAGAAATGAACTCACTGCTTCTGCTTCTGATGGAGCTTTTGTTACCCCAGGCAGCCTGTGGGATGCTCGGCACCAAGTGCTTCTTGACTTTGAGAAGGGATGCAAGGGACGCACTCAATTATTACAGGCCAGGAGATCATCTCATTGGTGGGCTCTTCTCTGCAACAAATAATCTACAACCTGAGCTGCAGAATTTCAGTTTGAGTCCTTCTAAAAAGGTTGATCAGTAAGTCTCATGATGCTGATTGATGTTATGTTACGTTGCCTTTGAGGAAAAATGGGGACGGAGGAAGGCAGTGAGGTTTTATTTTATTTTATTTTTTTATTTTATTTAGTTTGTCAAACATGTACGAGAAAAGAGGTATAAGTATAGACATGAACATAGGAGATGAGTACAAATAAATGGGGATGGTAGGACAGGGATGGTAGGCACGCTGGTGCACTTATGCATGCGCCCGTACAGACCTCTTAGGAATGGAGTGAGGTCCACGGTAGACAATTTAAGGTTAAAGGTTTGGGGGTTTGTGGAAGTAACCACAGAGTCAGGTAGTGCATTCCAGGCATTGACCACTCTGTTGCTGAAGTCATATTTTTTGTAATCGAGTTTGCAGTGGTTTACCTTAAGTTTGTATCTGTTGTTTGCCTGTGTATTATTGTGGTTGAAGCTGAAGTAGTCATGGACAGGTAGGACTTTGTAACAGACAATTTTGTTTTCTATGCTTAGGTCAGACTGCAGTTGGCGTAGTTCTAGATTGTCCAAGCCCAAAATTTCAAGCCTGGTAGCATAAGGTATTCTGTTGTGAGCAGAGGAGTGGAGGACTCTTCTCGTGAAATACCTCTGGACTTGCTCAATTGTATCAATGTCCAATATACAGTGTGGATTCCAGGCAGATGAGCTGTATTCGAGAATTGGTTGGGCAAAGTTTTGCAAAATTAGGTTAACAACTCTTAATGCCTTTTTGGCAATGCTGTTACAGTGAGCTCTAGGGCATAGATCATTTGAGATGTGTACTCCTAGGTCCTTGACAGAGTGAGGTTAGTTAGTTACTGAGATCAACAGTCACATCTGTATACAAACAGCATGAAGTGGAACACATTCCGCAGATGAAACAAAAGCAAGCTTTAATGCTCAGCACCCTTGTCCAACTGATCTCTACATTGACAACTTGCTTTCATCTTTCAAGGTGATTAGCTTGGGAGGTCATGGTTACGGTATCAGCATGGCCATCAAAGAAAAGGACAGGAGGCTCTAATTGGTCAATCCCAATTCAGAGAAAAGGCTGATTTCTTTTCTGAGTCTTTTCTAGAAGATAGCTATCAGAGTCTCTTTTGGACAAGATGGGCGGCACGTAAACCTAATATTATTATTAGCATCTGGTGTTGCTACAGTAGCTAGGAGACCACAATACTATTGCAGAGTAGTAGTTTGACATGCCTCATAAATCGAATAAATTGAATGAATAAATTTTCCAGAAAGATAGAACCCGCAACTCCAAAGACATCAGCAGTCAGCTCCTGGGTGCCTCCAGTCTTTCTCCCAAATTCCCTGTATTGTTTTCTTCAATGATCCATGGATTTCTCCAAACTCGCCACAGCTAGTTGTTGCTTCCCTGATGTGGACATGGGCATCTTCAGATGCTCCTTCTTGACTCACCTCTGGTTCCACTGATACCAAAGTGCTTTAAGCAGGCCCTCTGTTTTCTCTATCCACTCTCTCAAGCAAACAGGGATCGAGACCATTTACTCAAGAGAAAATGGGAAAGTTGGTACTTCTGTTCAATTCTTAAATGCTTTCTTTTCTGCCCCAACTTCATTCACACATTCAATCTCATACACACCCATACATGCACACTTTAAAAATATAATACATGCATAATGGCCCTTTGATGGAATCTCAAATCCTGGTTCCTACATGGTGAGGTCCATGAAGTTTTCTGAGCTACATTTTCAGACATGGTTTGCCAAAATCTTTTCCTGGGATGTTTTTTGACTTCTCAAACTGAGGTTGAGCGAATAGTGCAAGTGACAACAGTGCCCAGATTGTCTGGAGTGTGTCTGTTTTGACTTTCAAATAATCTAAGTAGAGAAGAGGAACTTTGGGGACAAAAACCTGTGCAGTCACAATAGCACATATGAAATTCATTAACAGAATAACAGAGTTGGATAGGAAGACCTTGGAGGTCTTCTAGTCTACTCCCCTGCACAAGCAGGAGACCCTATACCCGTGATGGCGAACCTATGGCACGTGTGCCACAGATGGCATGTGTAGCCATATCGGTGGACACGCGAGCTCAGCTCTGGCACACATGCACATGCCGGCCAGCTGATTTTTGGGCCACATGGGCCCACCAGAAGTAGGGAAACAGACTGTTTCCTGCCTCCGGAGGGCCTCTGGGGGTGGGGAAGGCCCGTTTTTCTTTCTCACCTGGCTCAAGATCCTCTCTATGCATCTGGGGAGGGTGAAAACAGCCTTCCCCATTCCCTCAGAGGCCCTGCAGAGGGTTGAAATGGCCCATTTCCCAACTCCCGGTTGAACAGGAAGTGATGTTTTTGCTGTCCCCAACCTCCAGAGACTCCTGGAGAGGCTCTGGAGGCTGGGGACAGGAGCTGGGGTGGAGGGGAGTTTCGCGAACATGCTCAGTGCAGGGTGCATAGAATTATGGGTGTGGGCACACACGCACATGGACTTCCCCCTCCCCCCTTCCTGGCTCACGATGGCGAAAATGTTAGCCATCACTGCCCTATACCATTCCAGACAAATGGCTGTCCAATCTCGTCTTAAAAACCTCCAGTGATGGAGCATCCACAACTTCGGGAAGGAAGCCCTTCCACCAGTTAATTGCTTTCACTGTCAGGAAATTTCTCCTTAGTTCTAGGTTGGTGATTTCACTGAATGTAACATCATGGCAAAATCCATGTATCTTTTCAGGAAAACAGGTGTGTTGTACTGGAAAATTCTGTCCTTCCTTTTTGCCATTCAGGAAATCAACAAAGATCCCCTTCTCTTGCCCAACCTCACCCTGGGTTATAATCTCCATGACAACTTTCGAGACAAAATGTTGACATTGGATGGTCTGTTGGATTTGCTTTCGACTGGAGAGGCCAATGTTCCCAACTACAGCTGCGGAAGGAAGAGAAACATGCTGGTTCTCCTGGAAGAGACCAACTCTGATATATCCATCCTTATGGCTGCCATATTGGGCATCTACAAAATCCCACAGGTATAGAGCCAGTGAATGGCTGCAAGTTTATTCCAGAGCGGTTAAGGAGATTTTCTCCTTAGAAATGTTAATTAAGCATGGATTAAGATGAAGAATTAATCTTTATGTCATCTTTCAGTCTCCCAGAGAGACAAGAACAAATATTGATACAACCATAATTAACAGTTATAAATTGAGAATAAATATTAACTTGTAATATTTCACGTTGCTCAGATCTTGCACTATGCAGGCTCTGAGGAAGCATCAGCTTTTCAGAAAATGAGATCCGGATTTCTTCTTACAATCCATTGTTGACAGTTATGTTTTCTGCATTTCTGATCCCCTATTAAATCCACCAAGGTAGGCTGGAATCTTCCAGCCACTACCTAAGCGTTGACATTATCATTTCAGGATCTAATAGGTCTTCTTTTTCTGCCATATCCATCATGAGACGCTGGTGATCATGTTGCCAATCCTATTTTTGTCAACAGCCACATTAAAAAGTGCTGCTGAGTTTTGTCCAAAGCAGTCCGTTAGGTTTTGATGCCACGATGTTCTTCTTATGCCTGGACCTCGTTTGCCTTCAATCTTTCCCTGGAGGATTAAGTGAAGGATGCCGTATTTTTCTGGGTGTTGCATCACATATCCAAAATATTCTAACGTTTGCTTTTTAATGGCTTTGATGATTTCCCTTGGCTTTCCCAGGTGGCTTATCACCTCCTTATTTGTGATTTTTGTTAACCCAATTTATACTTAACAGCCGTCTGTAAATCTACATTTCAAATGCTTCTCATTTCTTCAAGTGGTTTTCTGTCAGAGACCAACTCTCTACTCCATAGAGCAGGATAGTAACAGCTCCAAATAAAACATAAATCTCCCTTTTTTTCATTCCAGATCAGCTACACTTATATTTCACCGATCCTGAGTGATAAAACTCAGTTACCTTTTTTCTACCGGACCGTCCCCAAAGAAGGTGCTCAAAACCTGGGGATTGTTAAACTGCTGCTGTATTTTCGATGGACATTCATTGGAGTCTTTGCTGCAGACACTGATAACGGAGAACATTTCATTAGGACTTTCGTTCCTGTGCTGGCTCAGAATGGCATCTGTGTTGTTTTTGCACAAATCGTATTATTAAAAGATGAGAACTTCAAGTATCAGATTTCTGTTTTCAACCGGTGGGCCCAAATCAATGTATTGGTTTATTACTCAGAGTTTACGTTCATCGAGGGAGCCTTTTTCATAGAAAACATATTAAATTCCTTGCGAAATCCTATTGAAGGAATAGTTTGGATCATAACCGCTTTGTGGGATCTCACCCTTGAATTATCATATAATAGTTTCTCTTTCAGATACACCCATATTATTTTTTCTTCTCTTATCCAAACCAGCCAAAGGACCAAATTTGACGATTTCCGAGATTTCTATCCTTTTATCAAAGCATTTATGACTAAGAAATTTCACTGTTCATATGGGAAGCCTGCCTTGTCTGTGAAAGGCTGGACAAGGTGTACAGAGAAAGAGAACTTGGAGACTCTACCTCAGCAGATGATTGAAAAGACCTTCTCTCTAGATAGCTCCTTAACTTACAATGCCATCCAGATTGTGGCACATGCCTTAAATGTGGTCAATTCACCCAGATCCCAGAGGACAAGGATGGAGAGAAAAGACAAGCTGGAAGTTGAAAACATTCAACCATGGCAGGTATTTCCTTAAAGGTTCCATGTATGTTGCTAAGGGCGACATCTAGATGGTGAACATCATGAAACACTCTTTGAGAAATGTCATATACATTGAGAAAAAAATATCTTTTATGAATCATTTTCTTTCATAAGATCCCTTGTCCTCCTCTTTCATATATATATAGAGCCTAGTGGTGGCACAGCAGACTAAAGCCTGTTATTAACATTGAGCTGTCTGCAATTACTGCAAGTTCAAATCTCACCAGGCTCAAGGTTGACTCAGCCTTCCACCCTTTCTAAGTTGGTCAAATGAGGACCCAGATTGTGGGGGACACACACACACACACACACACACACACACACGCACGCATGCATACATACATACATATCAAATGTTTTTCTATCGAGGCACCTGGTCTAGCCCAACATATGGGAGGGGGCATTCTGCTCCCTTTTGCCTTTCAGCTCCAATCCAGGAGCCCTCAAGCAGTCGCATTCACGACAAACCATTTTATACCAAATGTATATTTTGCTGATAAAGAAATAAAGGGAGACTAGTATAGATCTATTTCAAGCTTTTAGCTTTCATCAGCTAGCCATACCCTTACGACCTTGGATTCCTGCATGTTAGGCAGTTGAATTAACCTTCTGAGCCACAAGCTATATATATTAATTATACAAAATTTATATTTTTGCTGATAAAGAAATAAAGGGAGAGTAGCTGATGAGAGCTAAATAGCTTGAAATAGATCTATAGTAGTCCACGTTTTAAAAATATAAATTTGATATAAAATGGTTTGTCGTGGAGGCGGTTGCTTGAGGGCTCCTGGATTGGAGCTGAAAGGCAAAAGGATATACTGGTTGTATCAGCACCTTTATAAATACATGTAATGTTATACATCCTAATTACGACCATTTTTCTCTTAATCATACAGTATAGTCCGTAGGGAAAAAAAAGAAACTTGATATTATATAACATACTTATATCTATTGTTTCCATAGTTATAACATAATTCTCTATACATTTAGCACTCTATATATTTTAATTTGCAGTTATGCACAGTCTAATAATAATATTGCTTGCAATACATATTCTTCTATATAGTTTTATATCTGTATTCGTTTCTAGCTTATTGACCCTCTTTCATCATTAATTTTCTAAACTTTGCATCTATTATCTAGTTAATTGTACCATAGGCCCCATATTAAGTAATACGCTGTTTCTTCTTTGTCTTTAATTTCCATCGTTACCCTGTCCATTTTGGCACATTCTAATATTTTCTTTACTACCATTTCCTCTGTCGGTATACTTTCGTTTTTCCAATTTTGTGCATACGTAATTCCGTTGCCACTGTTATTACATGTAACATTAAATATTGAATTACTCTTTCTTTTTACATTTGGCCTCCAGCATTTTGAATGGCAAATTATACCTTGGTTATGTTGTCACACACCACTACAATTATTTTACTTCATGTATTTTACTTCATGTGCTTTGAGCTTTTCTTTCTTCTGATTCTAGAATTTGATGCTTGTGGAAAGGGATTTTGGATAATCTCCCAATTTATTATAATGTAACACTATATTGTATTTAATATTACAATTATTTTATTTTATTTATTTATTATTTAAATTTGTATACCGCCCTTCTCCCGAAGGACTCAGGGCGGTGAACAGCCAAAATTTGACACACATACAGTATAAAAATTAAAAAGAATTAAAACAGAATTAAATCAGTTTGGCTTCCCTAAATTTTAAAACCCTTTCCCCATAAAATAACCCATTAAAATTTTAAGACAGCCCAGCTTGCTGGAATAAGAAGGTCTTTAACGCTCGGCGGAAAGTACGGAGGTCCGGGATCAGTCATATTCCTGGGGGTAGCTCGTTCCAGAGGGTGGTTGCCCCCACAGAGAAGGCTCTCCCCCTGGGGGTCGTCAGTCGACATTGCTTGACCGACGGCACCCTGAGGAGACCCTCTCTGTGGGAGCGAATTGGCCAGTGGGAGGTTATCGGTGGCAGAAGGTGGTCTCGTAAGTACCCAGGCCCTAAGCCATGGAGTGCTTTAAAGATGAGAACCAATACCTTGAAGCGCACCCGGAAGACCACCGGGAGACAGTGCAGCTCGCACAGGAGTGGTGTTACATGGGAGCGCCATGTCGCCCCCATAGTTACCCGCGCGGCCACATTCTGGACCAGCTGGAGCCTCCTCAAGGGGAGCCCCATGTAGAGAGCATTGCAGTAGTCCAGGCGAGAAGAATTATCAGTGTATATTCTTGTAAAAGCACCTGAAGAGTTCCAGAATCAATATTCAAGCTTTCCCTCCAAATCAGTGTTCAAGCTTTTTCAGATAACGAGCAAATGGAAGTTAATTATAAATATTGACATTTGCTTCCCAATTTCCGAAAGCCAATTCATAACACAGGAAGTTTATAAGAAGAGATTAGAAAACCATTTGTCTGAAGTAGTGTAGGGTTTCCTGCTTAAGCAGGGGGTTGGACTAGAAGACCTCCAATGTCCCTTCCAACTTTGTTAAATTATTATTATAATTATTAAATTATTATATTTCCAGGACTGAGTTGTACAAACTGATGCTGTGTCTTCTACAATAAGGAGACATTTTCTGACAGTGTGAACAATCAACCAATGGAACAGCTTGCCTTCAGAAGTTGTGGGAACTTCATCATTGGAATCCTTCAAGAAGAGATTGGACTGCCATTTGTCAGAAATGGTGTAGGGTCTCCTGCTTGGGCAGGGGGTTGGACTAGATGATCTACAAGGTCCCTTCCAACTCTGTTAATCTATCTCTCTTGTGGAATCAAAACACAGGTCCCAAAATAAATAATCAAGGCTCACTGCGTTGTTTGTTATTCAATGTGCACAGGAGAAACTCTCCAAATAATGTTAAGATAAATCTCTGTAGACAAAACGATGTATCTATAGCTATACAGGACATCTCAGGGAGGAGGGGAAAACTCATGGATAAGCAACAGATAATGTAAGCAAATATATTTGTAGGTAATGGATTTCCCTTCTCCTGCCCTTCTGCCATCTGCTTATCTTCAAGAGAACTAAGGGGAGAAATAAAACTATAAAACAAGAAAATGTGGGCTAGTGGGGAATGCCAGTGTTCCGTCCCCGTCTCACACACGAACACAAACAGATAGCCAGGGGTTAAATAAAACTTGCAGAGAACAAATTCTTTCGATAAGAGGATTGGCAGCAACCCAGTAGCTGCTTGCCAAGAACTTTACTCATAGAGGGAGGGGTTGTTCCTCCAACAGATAAATTCAAACAAGATACACACAGATCAAGAATTGTCAAGTCCAGTCCGTATTAAGTCCAAGGCAGATAACGTTGTTTCAAAGATACAATGTGACTCGCTAGTAAGTTAGTTTTGTCTGTCACAGAGTCTGAATGGCCACCTCACCCCTTTTTATCTCCTGTGGGGTGTGGTCCAGTGACTCAGCTTAATCTCTGGCACACCTCCTATTCTGCTGCATGCGCTTGTCTCTCAGACGCTGGTGTGGATCCAGCCAAGAGTTATCTCCATCACTGTCTGACTGCAAGGAGATACCTGGCTCCTGGCCAATCTCTTCTCCGTCAGGAGACACCTGAGGCATTGCCAGAGAGGAGGGTCCTGGAGAGGGCGGCCTGGCCAACTCCTCTCCTTCATGTTCGGAGCCTTCTCCCTCTGATAAGTCGGCCTCGGGGGTCGAAGTCACAACAGCCAGATGTTGGAAAGAAAACATCCGCCATTGGTACCTGAAGGACAAATCTATGCAGATTGTCCTGAGAAGAAAACAGGCTGCAGCTCAATAAGCCAAATTCCTTATATCTCTGTACATCAACTTGTTTAGATGATTCCAGTTGTGTAAAAACCTCTTTCCTTATATTCTGTAGCTTCACCATTTCCTGAAGAATCCTCAGATCTACAACAACACCATAGAAGGAATGTATTTGGATAGAAATGGAGATTTGATGGCTGACTTTGACATTGTGAGCTGGGTGTGGTTTCCAAATAAGTCGACCACCAGAGTGAAATTTGGGAGTCTAGACAGAGAAGGAACCATTGGAGTCAAATTCAGCATCAACAAGGAAGCTATCATGAGCCCTCAGTGGCTCAATCAGGTAGAGGAAGAGGTGTCCCATCTCTTAACCATGTTTCCCTGAAAATAAGACATTCCCTGATAATAAGTCCAATCAGGTTTTTGAGCACATGGACTAAAATAAGTCCTGCCCCCCCCAAAAAAATAAGCCCTCCCCAAAAATATTTAAGCACATGCGCAGCCAATCCTCGCCATTTCCTCTAGTTAGGGTTAGGGTGACAGAGCTGGAAATCAGCAAGAGGAGCCTCGTCTTGCTCCACACACCCCGAAATAATAAGACCTCCCCAAAAATAAGACCAAGCACTGATTTCAGGGTTCAAAAAATATAAGACAGGGTCTTATTTTCGGGGAAACACAGTAGTTTTGTCCATCATCTCAATCAGTGTACCCCACCATCCCAAACAATATGTAAGACCGACTGCCTTCAAATTCATGCTTCAGAATTATATTCTTTCATTTATAACCAGTAAAGGAAAAGTTGCTTTATGACTTATACAGTACAAGACTTTGGTCTGGGGACATAGAGGGAAAAAATGTGGAAATGGGGGGGAAATGGAAGCAGGATTTAAGAGGAGGGGAGAAGTAAAATCAATTGAGTTACACATGTTCATTTGGGCATATATACATTCAAGAATTTGACCTTATTTGGTAGTAGAAAAGTACAAAACCCATCATATTGAAGAATTTCAGAATTCTAATTTCTCCTCCATATGATATGTTTTTCCAAAAGTTTCTCTGACAGCCTTCCAGAGACAGTCCTCCAAAATGGAAGCATATCTGACTATCATTTTTCCAGTTTCAAGAGTAACTTTCTAGAAAATTCTCTGGAGTGGCCACCACAACAAGGGCCAGAGGAGAAACAGAATGGTCCACTTCTAGTCCATTTTGCACATACCTCTTGTTTTTCCCTGTAAGGTCCTGCCTCTCCAGTCCTCTCAAGAAAGCAGTCCTCATGAAACAAAAGCCATTTCAAAAGGAAACTTTTATTGGATGATTGTGATATCAAGAGATCTAGGCAGGAATTAAGTTTCCCGCTCAAAACAGTAAAGTGCAGACAGAGCCCCTCCCAAAGTCAAATACATCAACAAGCCAATCTCGAAGTGTAAAGATATTATGAGATACTCAGGCGAAGGAGGTGATAAATGCCATTCTCCAAGGCAACGCTGCTGCTCTTCTCTGGAGACGAGATAAGCTATGGGACCTGACAATCCCATTCCAACACTATAATTCATTTCATAACTAATCAGTTTTGCAGATGCTTCTGAATGCAAATTCTGTTCACTTTCAGCACTTGCCTCACTCCCAGTGTGTGGAGCCTTGTCAACCTGGCTATTTCAAGGTGGTCCAGGAAGGAAAACCAATCTGTTGCTACAACTGCGTCCCTTGTGCAGAAGGGAGCATTTCCACCCAAGAAGGTGGGTGAATGGGAATCAAAACAGCCCTTGGGATAGGAGCAAAGGTTCCTGCAGATCTTTTCTAAGAAGATATTAGAAATATCTTCTAAGTATTGGGGGTGGGGGAGGGACTATTAATTTAACTATCAGAATTAATTTCACCAAGGATATAACCATAATATAAGCTGGGAAAATTCATTGGAATGAGAGGTTAAGTGTAGAAGAAGCCAAGCAGCTATCAAAAAGCATATGTGACTTTGTGAAGGATCAGTTGAAGTGACATGAAGCATTGTTTCACCATGACAAACAGAATGATGTTGCTTCTACATTATGAAGCTCCATTGAGATAAATTAATCTCCAATGTCAGGGTTTCAAGTAACACCCCCAATGAAAGAAAACTCCGAGGCTCGACTTTCCCCAAAATTACATGTTAATGAAGATGTCATATTAGCACATCTGGGAAAACCCAAATCTGAAAGCTTCCAGGTTTTCCCCACTCAAAGGAAAGTTCAAGTCCCTGCCCAACACCCACAAGTCCATCACATGGCCCAATCCAAACACCATGCTGACTGGAGATGCCTCCTGTTTCTAACCCTCTAGCTGCAGGTAAAGATGTCCTTGACTTTCTGAGAAAGGAATGTTATTATGACTACCGGTATATTTATTTATTATTATTTATTATTTAAATTTCTATACCACCCTTCTCCTTTTGGACTCAGGGCTCCATACAATCCCTCCATTACAGTTTCCCACAGTAGTAAATGTGGCAGGCCTGAAGAGGCAACGAAAAAGATGGCTTCCAGGCCTGACAGCCAACTCACACAGGACCTAGTCAGTAATCTTGCCATCTTCTCCATTCCAGGGTGGACTCAGGATAGACACATTTCTGCCTATCCATCTTCCTCCAAAGTATCCAAGGAGTAGGCAGGCATGACCTGTGTTTCCTGTGGAGTAGCTATTTGGGGGAATACATTGCTACCGGAAAGGAACCTCTCCTCATTATGGTGATTAGAGAGAAAGGTCAAACCAGACAACTTTATCTGCCCCTTTTTAATCATTAACCATTGGGATTTGGTGGGACAAAATGAAAGCAAAAATAGTTGAACAATATTGTTATTGAATTTAAATTTTATCCTCCAATTAATGGGTAATGGGACAAATCAAACTCCATTTTGGAAAAGCAAAATATTCCAACCTTGTCAAATTGGCTAGTTCTAGTCCATTAGAAACCTTCCTACATGATGTAGATCAGAGGTAGCAAACTCAAGGCCCATGGTAAATATTACATTTGTCCTCTATAGATGCAGACCACTGCACCAGATGTCCAGACAATCAGTATCAGAACAAGCATCGAGATCAATGTATCCTCAAAATTGTCACTTTTTTGTCCCATCAAGAGTGTTTGGGAATTATTCTTACTTTCTTTGCCCTATTCCTGATCTTAACCACAGTTTTAGTCTTGGGAATCTTCATTAAATTCCAAGAAACTCCAATTGTCAAAGCCAACAACCGGGACCTCTCCTATATCCTCCTGGTCTCCCTTCTTCTTTGCTTCTTGACTTCCTTTCTCTTCATTGGACGGCCAAAGAGAACCACCTGCCTTCTCCGACAAACAATTTTCAGCATCATCTTCTCCATTGCCGTGTCTACCGTCTTGGCCAAAACAGTCATGGTGGTGCTGGCCTTCCTGGCCACAAAGCCAGGAAACAGAGTGAGAGGATGGCTGGGCAAGAGTCTGACCAACACCATCATCATTTCTTGTTCCAGTGTCCAGGTTGTCATTTGTTTCACCTGGTTAGGAGTCTTTCCTTCATTCCCTGATTCTGACATGTATTCCCAGCCTAGAGAGATTGTTCTGCAGTGCAATGAAGGCTCGGTCACTATGTTTTATGTTGCCCTTGGTTACATGGGTTTTCAGGCTGCCATTTGCTTCATAGTGGCCTTCCTGGCCAGGAATCTACCTGGGTCCTTCAACGAAGCCAAGCTGATCACCTTCAGCATGCTGGTCTTTTGCAGTGTCTGGATCTCCTTTGTGCCTACCTATCTCAGCACCAAAGGGAAATTCACGGTTGCTGTGCAGGTCTTCTCCATCTTGGCTTCCAGTGCTGGGCTGCTGGGTTGCATCTTCATCCCTAAGTGTTACATCATTTTGCTGAGGCCAGAACTGAATACAAAGGAACAACTGATGTTCAAAAGTGAAGTAAAAAAGTGATGCTGATGGATGTTCTGGGAGTATAATTCCCACCCAATATAATTCTCACCCATTGGGTACTTTTCAGGAGAAAACACTATCAGGCTGCTTTTTGAAGTGATCTCCTGCTTAAGCCTAATTTCCATGTTTTTATGTTTCTGTGTCTGGTAGTATTATTTAGCATTTTGGGCTTCATTATCAGCCTTTAAGTGAGGATGTTATTAGAATTTTAGTCTGGCAGTGTTGACCTCCTTTCAGATTTTAGGAAAACATGTTTTTCTTCTTTTTTTTCATGGGGAAAAAGCAGCCTTTTCAACAATTGAATCTTAGTCAGTGTATTCTGAAAGTAATTGAATACACTTGCAAGTTTTAAGTAAGATACTAATCCATCTTGGAAAGAGCATGATGTAACCCATAAATTTACCTCATGTGGAAAGTAATTTCTAGTCAATATTTTCTATTGTTCACTTGTCAAATGTAATAAATGTCTTTCATTCTTTCGTTGGTTTATTTCTGATGTATCACATGTACCAAATGTTTGTAACATTTGTTTCTGTACCCTATTAAAAGACTTGGACTTCCCCCATTCCATAAATGCTTTTTACTGTGCCTAACCCTATCGCTTCTGTGGGTGTGGCTTGGTGGGTGTGGCTTGGTGGGCATGGCAGGGGAAGGATAGTGTAAAATCTCCATTCCCTCCCCACTCCAGGGGAAGGTTACTGCAAAATCCCCATTTCCTCCCGATCAGCTTGGACTCAGGAGGCAGAGAATAGATGGGGGCGGGGCCAGTCAGAGGTGGTATTTACTGGTTCTCCAAACTACTCAAAATTTCCCCTACTGGCTCTCCAGAACCGGTCAGAACCTGCTGAAACCCACCTCTGGGCTGAACAGCTTACTTTTACAAAAGGAAAAAGTGTTTTTAATCTCTCAGATTCAGAGAAATAAGGCCAAACAATTGGGGAAAATACAGCTGCAACATAAATGGTCATCACTTTTTTTTCAATCCAATGGACATTAATTCACTAATAAAATATTTATAATTATTAAGATCTACCAAACAGGTAGAAGAAAGTATTTTTTCCCCTATAATCTATCCTGTCTAACAATCAAAACTATAGATCAGAAGTTCATTTCTTTTTATTTGTGGGGTTCTTGGTGCTCCCTATGCGTGCTTGTTTTCTTGCAGATGTTTCATGTCCCAAATTAAGTATCATACAATAGAATACTTTATTGGTGCGATTGGACACTCAAGGAATCTGTCTTAGGTGCATATGCTCTCAGTGTACATAAGGAGAATAAAATACATTCATCAAGAATAAAAAGATCCAACACTTAGTGATAGTCAAGGTTACTAATAAACTATCAAACTGTACTAGGAAACAAATAAAAACAATATAAATCAAAAGATACAAGCAACATGGTTATAGTAATAAGTGGGAAGAGATAAATACTAGTAAGGAAGAGAATAATAATAGTAATACATTATTTGACAATGTTGTGGGAATTAGTTGTTAAGCAGAGTGATGGCATTTGGGGGGAGGGAAACATTATCAGAGCTGATAACTATCATGAGTGACTAACAATGACGATATTATTAGTTTGGGTCAGGAAACATCTGCAAGAAAGCAAGAAAGCTCAGAGGGAACCAAGGATCCCTCATTTCAATCCTGAACAACAAATATTCTCTATTGACATTTTTTTTTATGAAGAAATGTATAAGAGGCTTCTAGTTATCAATTAATGTAGATCATTTCCTTTCCCTAATCAAAGAAGTTAATTTATCCATTTCAGCTATTCTACCAAATTCACCAGCCATTCCTCCATAGTGGGTTGAGTGGGGGGGAGCCTTATCAGCGGAGAGTTGAGTCTAATAGACCCCACAATGGAACTAAGAGGCCAGGATTGTGTGGGAGATGGTGGTATGATGTTCCTGCTTGCAAAGAGAAAGGAGACAGGAGAGATTATGTAAGCAAAGCAATGAATTGACCAAGAAACCCTGATTGGCAGGATAGGAAATTTTTGATTGAAAGGGGAAAGGATGGCTAAGCACTGAAGATACCTAGACATTTTTTTTTTCCAAAATGAAATTGGAAAAGAGAATCTATTGCACAAGAAAGGAAATTTTTGGAAACATTCCAAATCTCTGGATTCAGGGCTGGTATGCAAGGCCCAATAAAACACACTGAGGATGGAGATAATAATAAAATATTTACTTCTGACCAAAAAAAAAGATGCTCAGGAATATTTTACGCCTCAAGCACAACAGCTCTAAAACCAACAAGTTTCACATACATTTTTGCAACAAGATACAAAGTAAAAACAAAGCTTTAAATTGTACAGCCTTCAGCCATAAAGTGATAAAGTAGGCATAATTCAGGATTCCCAGAATTCAAGATTCCCAGTCAATGATATGCTTGCCCTGCCTTTAACTCTATATCTACACTAAGTTCATGTAGTTACAAAACAAAAAGGCAACTGAACATCCCATCTACATCAGCTTCAGTCAGTCAGTCAGTCAGTCTGTCAGTTAGAATGCAGTTGTCAATTTTCCCATTGGGTTAGACAGCAAAAGAAACTCCTGGGACATTTTTTTACCAAGAGTATACCATATTTTTTGGAGTATAAAATGCTCCGGAGTATAAGAGGCACCTTAGTTTTTGGGAAGGAAAATAGGGGGAAAAAATTCTGCCTCTGCCTACCAAGTATTCATCTGGCTAGCTTCCTTAGCCTGGTCAGCTTTAGCACACATTAGTTGGCTGGTTGTGAGTGTGCACTGGGGCTGATAAACAGCTTAAAAAGCACAGCTGATTGTCAGAGGGAGCTCCACTTAGTAAAGCAGGTGAAGCGCGGAAGCAGTAAGACAAGGCAGTAGCTTTGGCAAAATGGATTGCCATTTTGGGCTCCGCGCCTCGTGTTTTCAGCCTCCAAATGCTCCATTTGAGAACTGTTCATGGCTGCGGGGATCGTAAAAACCATATCACCGCCCATTGCTACCCAAAAACATGAGGTGCAGAAGCCAAAAATGGGGCATGCTGAAGCCTAAAACGTGATACACAGAGGCCGAAAACACAATGTGCACAGGCAGCGATCAGTGGCGATGTGTCTTGGCAATCCCCGCAAACTTGAACAGCTCTCAAACGGAGCATTTGGAGACTGAAAATAAGAGCCATTGTTTGTGGCAATCTCTGCAGCCAGGAAGAGGATGTGCTGAGGCCGAAGGGTGGGACTGGCTGGTGGGTGGGGCTACATTTGCAGTATAAGACGCACCCAAGTTATCAGCCTCTTTTGGGGGGAAGTGCATCTTATACAACGAAAAATAAAGTAACTTTACTGAAGTTTCCATGCAGGTACAGGAGAAAAGCCAGTTCCAATGTTTTCCTGTCAAAATAGCATAGGAAAACTTTCCCTTGCCCCCCCTGGACCTCCCATTGTCGATTGTGCACCATGCATTTGCACTTTCTTTGTTTTTGGAACAGTCTGTCTGCCTCGGACTTCCCCAGCTGGTGACTTTGAGATATTGGATCTGTCTCAGACTTCCAGTTGACATACTTGCATTCCAAATTTCCTTCCCAAGCCTCCTTTAGATTCCAAGGCCTTCCCTTCCCCCTCCTGTTATAGTTGTCTGGTTGCAAGCAAGGCCAGATCCTGAAGATGAAACTCAAATACTTTGGTCACCTAATGAGAAGGAAGAACTCACTGGAGAAGAGACTTTTGCTGGGAACGATTGAGGGCAAAAGAAGAAGGGGATGACAGAGAACGAGGTGGCTAGATGGAGTCACTGAAGCAGTAGGAGGGAGCTTAAATGGACTCCAGAGGATGGTAGAGGACAGGAAGACCTGGAGGAACACTGTCCATGGGGTCACGATGGGTCAGATACGACTTCACAACTAACAACAAAAAAAGCAAGACTGCGTAGCTAGTCAACCATGACAGCAGTATTGCAGGCTAACTCACTGCTCATTCAGCAGGAGTTCGATCCTGACTGGCTCAAGGATGACTCAGCCTTGCATCCTTCTGAGGTCAGTAAAAGGATTATTTGGAGCAAGATGGTGACTCTGTAAACCATGTTTCAGAAAAAACTTTTTTTCCTGCCTCTGAAAGCCTCCAAAACAGTTTCACAAAAAAAAAGCCTCTGAAGCTCTGTTTGGGGGCTTCTTTTCTGAAGCTGTTTGGGGGCTTCTTTTCTGAAGCTTCATTTCTAATGCTTTTTTCAGCCTCTGAAACCTCCGTTTGAGAAGCTGGGCGGGGCTACATTTGGAGTATAAGACAAACCCGGATATTCACCCTCTTTTTGGTGGAAAAAGGTGTGCCTTATACTCCAAAAAATACGGTACATAAATAAATAAAATAGAGGCGATACTGACTATTGGCTTTCAGTAAGTGAGTTTTTGGGAATTAAATTATTCCCAAGATTAAGTCTGTTACTAAAAATGGAAACAAGGCAAAAGGAAACTACAATGATCCCCAAATTTTCTTGATAGCAGAGATTCAATCTTAGCTATGCTGTCATCTCAGTTGATGTTTAAAGGGTGATCCACAGGAAATTTGGTGTATTTTTCAGTATTTGAAAAGAGAAAAATAGCCTTTACCATAAAGTAGATGTCAGGATTCCAACCGATGCCCTAATTACATCATGAGCATCGAGCCAAGCTTCAAAAGAAATCCAATTATTTATTAGGAGCTTCATGTCAGCACGTTCCAAGTAAAGCCAACTCTGATCTCACGTAATTTACGTTCCAGCTCTGACCCTTTTTTCCCCCTCCCCCAAAGGTGTGTCATCAGTCACAATTTTCCATCGAAGCAATTTTGTGGGTTGTAGAGATCACTCCTCTCTGGCCACTGTGGATAACCATGGAGACAGCCTTAACAGAGAGATGGCTGGAATGTGCTTTTGTTTTGACTGACATGCTGCCTCACTGCAGCTACAGAGTTAGTTTTCCCATTCCCCTTGCCAATGGCAACTCAAGGGCAGGCCAGAGATCCAGGTAAGGAAAGGAAAGGGAAGGGAAGGGAAGGGAAGGGAAGGGAAGGGAAGGGAAGGGAAGGGAAGGGAAGGATGAGGTTTTCTTGTAATCTCCTTTCCTGGATGGAACCATTTCTAGGGACAATCAAAATTCATGATTTGCAGGAGATATTTATGGAAGCAAAGTATTTAAGACTCAGGGTGAAATGCTACTCATTAGATTTTCATTTGGCAGAGGGGTACAGATAGACTTTTCTACCTGTTGGATCAGTATGAAAGAACCAGAGATGTCTCATGTTGAGCATCTCTGTTTGAGGTTATATAGCAAGGGAGAAATTTCTTAGAAACTCTTTGACTCTTTTGTTTGACTCTTCCAAGTAGAAAAGGGACATGTTACATGAATGGATGGATGGATGGACATCTATTTGATTTGTTTGCATTCAATTCCAGACAGATGCACAGTAGCTCACAATAAAAAAATTAAATATCCACCCTAAAACATAACGTTCTGAATAATAAGGAATGCACAGTAAGTCTAAGTCCACATAAGCATCATAATGTTCAAAAGTCCACATTAAGAAAACAGTAAATTCATCACTCAAAAGCACAACTTTATAAAATAAACCAGTCACATATAAGAGCATAAAAGAAAAACAACTGGAAATCAACCCAGCAGAATGATTGGGGTTCCAAATGCCCACAGAACAATTTGGTTGTGGATGCTTTCTGGGAATCCACTACATTGAGTTACATCGGGACTTTTTCAGTTGGATCCCAGTTCACCCTGCAGGGAGGACTTTGCAAAACTCCTACTTCCCCAGCTAATTATTAGAATGATAGTGATTTCTTTCTTGCCTTCTTGCTAAATGTCAAGGGATTCTTTTTCCCTCTGGAAATTGTCTGAAGGAAGTCAACAGACTCAGCAGCAAGACATTCAGCATCAGGAAAGTTAGTGTATAAATTGTCTTGTCACCCTGGAAAGCTGGACTGAGCTTCATGGACACCAGGAGCTCTGCTTCTGCATTGGTCCAGTTTCCATCATTGGGGAAGTTCTCTCTGGACTTCATATTATATTAGAAAAGTCAGTCTTGCTGCAATTTGCTTTCAACGTCTCCAAATGCTTCTGCTCTACTGATTCTGAGATCAGATGCAAGGCAGGGGATTCTTCGGCTAACCCAGAAATGAACCCACTGCTTCTGCTTCTGATGGAGCTTTTGTTGCCCCAGGCAGCCTGTGGGATGCTCGGCACCAAGTGCTTCTTGACTTTGGGAAGGGATGAAAGAGACCCACTCAATCATTACAGGCCAGGAGATCATCTCATCGGTGGGCTCTTCTCTGCAACAAATATTCTAGATCCTGAGTTGCAGAATTTCACTTTGAGTCCTTCTAAAAAGGTTCATCAGTAAGTCTAATGAAGTTGATTGATGTTATATTACGTTGCCTTTGAGGAAAAATGGGGATGGAGGAAGGCAGTGAGGTTTTATTTTATTTTATTTTTTTATTTTATTTAGTTTGTCAAACATGTACGAGAAAAGTGGTATACGTATAGACATGAACACAGGAGATGAGTACAAATAAATGGGGATGGTAGGACAGGGATGGTAGGCACGCTGGTGCACTTATTCATGCCCCCGTACAGACCTCTTAAGAATGGAGTGAGGTCCACGGTAGACAATTTAAAGTTAAAGGTTTGGGGGTTTGTGAAAGTAACCACAGAGTCAGGTAGTGCATTCCAGGCATTGATCACCCTGTTGCTGAAGTTGTATTTTCTGTAATCAAGATTGCAGTGGTTTACCTTAAGTTTGTATCTGTTGTTTGCCTGTGTATTATTGTGGTTGAAGCTGAAGTAGTCATCGACAGGTAGGACCTTGTAGCAGACAATTTTGTTGACTATGCTTAGGTCAAACCATAGTCAGCGTAGTTCTAGATTGTCCAAGCCCAAAATTTCAAGCCTGGTGGCATAAGGTATTCTGTTGTGAGCAGAGGAGTGGAGGACTCTTCTCATGAAATACCTCTGGACTTGCTCAATTGAATTAATGTCTGATATACAGTGTGGATTCCAGGCAGATGAGCTGTATTCAAGAATTGGTCAGGAAAAGGTTTTGAATGTACTAGTTAACAATTCGATGTTAATAAGAAGTTTCACAAAATTAGGTTAATAACTCTTAATGCCTTTTTGGCAATGCTGTTACAGTGAGCTCTAGGGCATAGATCATTTGAGATGTGTATTCCTAGGTCCTTGACAGAGTGAGGTTAGTTAGTTACTTAGATCAACAGTCACATCTCTATACAAACAGCATGAAGTGGAACACATTCAGCAGATGAAACAAAAGCAAGCTTTAATACTCAGCAACCTTGTCCAACTGATCTCTACATGGACAACTTGCTTTCATCTTTCAAGCTGATTAGCTTGGGAGGTCATGGTTATGGTCTCAGCATGGCCATCAAAGAAAAGGACAGGAGGCTCTAATTGGTCAGTCCCAATTCAGAGAAAAGGCTGATTTCTTTTCTGAGTCTTTCGTAGAAGATAGCTCTCTATCAGAGTCTCCTTTGGATGAGATGGGTGGCACATAAATATATTATTATTATTATTAGCATCTGTTGTTGCTACAGTAGCCAGGAGACCACAATGCTATTGCAGAGTAGTAGTTTGGCATGCCTCATAAATCTAATAAATTGAATGAATAAATTTTCCAGAAAGATAGAACCCGCAATTCCAAAGACATCAGCAGTCAGCTCCTGGGTACCTCCAGTCTTTCTCCCAAATTCTCTGCTATTGTTTTCTTCAATGATCCATGGATTTCTCCAAACTCGCCACAGCTAGTGGTTGCTTCCCTGATGTGGACATGGGCATCTTCAGATGCTCCTTCTTGACTCACCTCTGGTTCCACTGATACCAAAGTGCTTTGAGCAGGCCCTCTGTTTTCTCTATCCACTCTCTCAAGCAAACAGGGATCGAGACCATTTACTCAAGAGAAAATGGGAAAGCTGGTACTTCTGTTCAATTCTTAAATGCTTTCTTTTCTGCCCCAACTTCATTCACACATTCAGTCTCATACACACCTATACATGCACACTTTAAAAATGTAATACATGCATAATGGCCCTTTGATGGAATCTCAAATCCTGGTTCCTACATGGTGAGGTCCATGCAGATTTCTGAGCTAGATTTTCAGACATGGTTTGCAAAATCTTTTCCTGGGATGTTTTTTGACTTCTCAAACTGAGGTTGAGCGAATAGTGCAACTGACAACAGTGCCCAGATTGTCTGGAGTGTGTCTGTTTTGACTTTCAAATAATCTAAGTAGAGAAGATGAACTTTGGGGACAAAAACCTGTGCAATCACAATAGCACATATGAAATGCATTAACAGAATAACAGAGTTGGATGGGAAGACCTTGGAGGTCTTCTAGTCTAATCCCCTGCACAAGCAGGAGACCATATCCCTGTGATGGAGAACCTATGGCACACGTGCCATTGGTGGCATGTGTAACCATATTGGTGGGCACACAAGCTCAGCTCTGGTGCACATGCACATGCCGGCCAGCTGATCTTTGGGCCTCATGGGCCCACCAGAAGTAGGTAAACAGGCTTTTTCCTGCCTCCGGAGGGCCTCGGGGGGCGGGGAAGGCCCATTGTTCATTCTCACCTGGCTCAAGATCCTCTCTATGCATCTGGGGTGGGCGAAAACAGCCTTCCCCATTCCGTCAGAGGCCCTCCAGAGGCCTGAAACGGCCCATTTCCCAATTCCCGTTTGGACAGGAAGTGATGTTTTTGCTGTCCCCAACCTCCAGAGACTCTTGAAGAGGCTCTGGAGGCTGGGGACAGGAGCGAGGGTGGAGTGGGATTTCGCGCACATTCGTAGGGCAGGGTGCATAGAATTATGAGTGTGGGCACACACGCACATGGACTTCCCCCTCCCCCCCTTCCTGGCACGTAATGGCAAAAAGGTTAGCCATCACTGTCCTATACCATTCCAGACAAATGGCTGTCCAATCTCTTCTTAAAAACCTCCAGTGATAGAGCATCCACAACTTCGGGAAGGAAGCCCTTCCACCAGTTAATTGCTTTCACTGTCAGGAAATTTCTCCTTACTTCTAGGTTGGTGATTTCACTGAATGTAACATCATGGCAAAATCCATGTATCTTTTCAGGAAAACAAGAGTAATGTACTGGAAAATTCTGTCCTTCCTTTTTGCCATTCAGGAAATCAACAAAGATCCTCTTATCTTGCCCAATCTCACCCTGGGTTATTACCTCCATGACAACTTTCGAGACAAAATGTTGACATTGGATGCTCTGTTGGATTTGCTTTCGACTGGAGAGGCCAATGTTCCCAACTACAGCTGCGGAAGGAAGAGAAACATGCTGGTTCTCCTGGAAGAGACCAACTCTGATATATCCATCCTTATGGCTGCCATATTGGGCATCTACAAAATCCCACAGGTATAGAGCCAATGAATGGCTGCAAGTTTATTCCAGAGCAGTTCAAGGAGATTTTCTCCTTAGAAATGTTAATTAAGCATGGATTAAGATACAAGAGACAAGAACAAATATTGATACAACCATAATTAACAGTTATAAATTGAGTACAAATATTAATTAGTAATATTTCATGTTGCTCAGATCTTGCACTCTGCATGCTCTGAGGAAGCATCAGCTTTTCAGAAAATGAGATCTGGATTTCTTCTTAACATCCATTGTTGACAGTTACGTTTTCTGCATTTCTGATCCCCTATTAAATCCACCAAGGTAGGCTGGAATCTTCCAGCCACTACCTAAGCTCTGACATTATCTTTTCAGGATCTAATAGGTCTTCTTCTTCTGCCATACCCATCATCGGACGTTGGTGATCATGTTGGCAAATCCTATTTTTTCAACAGCCGCATGAAAAAGTGCTGCTGAGTTTTGTCCAAACCAGTCCATTAGGTTTTGAAGCCACGATGTTCTTCTTCTGCCTGGACCTCGTTTGCCTTCAATCTTTCCGTGGAGGATTATTATTATTATTATTATTATTATTATTATTATTATTATTATTATTATTATTATTATTTATTAGATTTCTATACCGCCCTACTCCCGAAGGACTCAGGGCGGTGCACAGCCAAACAATAAAAACACATACAATACAAAATTTAAAAAATAGAATAAAATCAAATTAAATAATTTTGGCCCCGACAAATTTAAAACCCCAAACTTTTAAAACCAATTTAAAATTGAATATATAAATACTAAAAAATATTTAAAATTTTAAAAATCTTTTATAAAAGAGGGGGAAAATTAGGCCAGGCCGGCCTGGTGAAATAGTAAGGTCTTTAAGGCGCGGCGGAAGGTGCGCAGATCCGGGATCCTCCGTATCTCTGGGGGGAGCTCGTTCCAGATAGTAGGTGCCCCCACAGAGAAGGCTCTCCCCCTGGGGGCCGCCAGTCGGCATTGTTTGGCTGACGGCACCCGGAGGAGCCCCTCTCTATGGGAGCGTACCGGCCGGTGGGAGGCTATTGGTGGTAGTAGGCGGTCCCGCAAGTACCCGGGTCCTAAGCCATGGAGCGCTTTAAAGGTGGTAACCAAAACCTTGAAGCGCACCCGGAAGACCACCGGGAGCCAGTGCAGCTCGCGCAGGAGAGGTGTTACATGGGAACGCCATGTCGCTCCCATTACCACCTGCGCGGCCGCACTCTGCGCCAGTTGGAGCCTCCGGGTGCTCCTCAAGGGGAGCCCCATGTAGAGAGCGTTGCAATAGTCCAGGCGGGAGGTGACAAGGGCATGAGTGACCGTGCGTAAAGAGTCCCGATCCAGAAAGGGACGCAACTGGCGAATCAGGCGAACCTGATGAAAAATCCTCCCGGTCACGGCCGTCAAGTGCTCTTCTAAAGACAGCCGTGAGTCCAGGAGGACGCCCAAGTTGCGAGCCCTCTCCGTGGGGGCCAATGATTCGCCCCCAATAGTCAGTGATGGCGTCAACTGACTATATCGGGACGTCGGAAACCACAGCCACTCAGTCTTGGATGGGTTGAGCCTGAGCCTGTTCCTCCCCATCCAGATCCGTACGGCCTCCAGGCACCGGGACATCACTTCAAGGGCATCGTTGGGGTGATCCGGGGTGGAGATGTACAGCTGGGTGTCGTCAGCGTACTGATGGTACTCCACCCCGAAACCACGGATGATCTCGCCCAGCGGCTTCACATAAATGTTGAACAGGAGAGGCGAGAGGACCGACCCTTGCGGCACCCCACATATGAGGGGCCTCGGGGTCGACCTCTGTCCCCCTGTCAACACAGACTGCGACCGGTCAGAGAGAAAGGAGGAGAACCACCGCAACACAGTGCCTCCCACCCCCAACTCTTCCAACCGGTGCAGCATGATACCATGGTCGATGGTATCAAAAGCCGCTGAGAGATCTAACAGGACCAGGACAGAGGAGCACCCCCTGTCCCGAGCCCTCCAGAGATCATCAACCAACGCGACCAATGCCGTTTCCGTGCTGTACCCGGGCCTGAAGCCCGACTGGAACGGATCCAGATACGTCGTTTCATCCAGGTGCTGGGGGAGCTGTTGCGCGACCACACTCTCAACAACCTTCGCAACAAAGCGAAGATTGGAGACCGGACGATAATTTACCAACATTGCCGGGTCCAGGGAAGGCTTCTTGAGGAGAGGCCTCACCACCGCCTCTTTCAAGGCGGCGGGAAAGTCACCCTCACTCAGCGAAGCGTTTATAATCCCCTGGAGCCAGCCTCGTGTCACTTCCCGGGAAGCCAGTACTAACCAGGAAGGACACGGGTCCAATAAACAAGTGGTCGCGTTCAGTCTACCCAGAATCCTGTCCACGTCCTCAGGGGTCACAGGATCAAACTCATCCCAGATAACAGTCTCAAGACCTGCCCCTGTCTCTCCCCCTGAGACTACCCAGTCGGAGTCCAAATCTTCCCGAATCTGAGTGATTTTGTCATACAGATACTGAACAAAATCCTCGGCTCTACCCTCCAAGGGGTCCTCCCGCGCTTCCTGGTGGAGCAGGGAGCGGGTCACCCTAAAGAGGGCGGCCGGGCGATTATCTGATGACGCAATAAGAGCAGCAAAATAACTACATTTCGCTGCTTTTATCGCCACTAAGTAATTCCTAATGTGGGATCTTACTAGTGTCCGGTCAGATTCAAGAAGACTGGCCCTCCAATTACTCTCTAGGCGTCTTTTCCGGCGCTTCAACTCCCTCAGCTCCTCGGTAAACCAAGGAGCCAATTGAGATCGGCGCCGGGTCAGAGGCCGCAAAGGCACGACCCGATCCAGAGCACCAGCAGCCGCCCTATCCCAGGCGGCCACCAGGTCTCCAGTTGAGGCGTGTGCCAGAACCTCAGGAAATGGCCCAAGCTCCGTCTGGAATCTGTCAGGTTCCATCAGGCGCCTGGGGCGGAACCATCTGACCGGCTCCACCTCCCTGCGGCGGGGTGCAGCGGTTCGAAAGTCGAGACGAAGGAGAGAGTGATCTGACCATGACAAGGGTTCAGTAACTATATCCCCTATATCAAGATCCCTCAACCACTGTCCAGAGACAAAAACCAGATCCAGCGTGTTTCCCCCTGTGTGGGTAGGGCCATGAATTAACTGGGTCAGGTCCATAGCTGTCATGGAAGCCATGAACTCCCGAGCCATCTCTGACGTCTCACCCACGGACGGCAGGTTGAAATCCCCCATAACCATAAGCTTAGGGGTATCAACCGCCACCGCGGCGATGACGTTGAGTAGCTCGGGCAGGGCTGTTGCCACGTGGCAGGGAGCCAGGTACGTGATCAGCAAACCCATCTGAACCCCATGACCCCATTTCACAAAAAGGGATTCACAGCCGGCCGTCTGAGGAACAGTGGCCTCCCTCGGTCTCAGACCTTCTTTAATGATAACCGCTACCCCCCCGCCCCTCCCCTGTGACCTCGGCTGATGGAATGCTTGGAAACCTGGCGGGCACATTTCAACGAGGGGAACCCCCCCCTCCTGGCCCAACCAGGTCTCCGTAATACCTGCCAGATTAAGTGAAGGATGCCGTATTTTTCTGGGTGTCGCATCACATGTCCAAAATATTCTAACTTTTGCTGTTTAATGGCTTTGATGATTTCCCTTTGCTTTCCCAGGCGGCTTATCACCTCCTCATTTGTGATTTTTGTTAACCCAGTTTATACGAAAAACCCATCTGTAAATCCACATTTCTTTCTTTTTTTATTTTAAAAACAAACTTTATTAAACAGAAAAAGATAAAATACCATATCATGTACACATAAAATACATTTGTGTTAATACAAACAACATTACTTACTAAAACTAAAACAACAACAACAACAACAACAACAACAAAAGAAGAAAGTGACTTTAGTCACATATCCGTTATCTTGTTAAGGGTGCCTATTTGTTAATTTTATTGTCATACAGAATTTACATTTATTCTCATTTCTTTGAGTTATCCAATTGTACCATCTATGGATAAATTAACATTTGAGTTAAAAGATAAGGTAGACTCAAAATATTATATGGCGTGGAATAGATGGTAAATCCACATTTCAAATGCTTCTCATTTCTTCAAATGGTTTTCTGTAAGAGACCAACTCTCTACTCCATAGAGCAGGATAGTAAAAGCCCTAAATAAAACATAAATCTCTTTTTTTTTCATTTTATTTTTATTAAAAAGTTTTACAAAAAAGAGAAAATTTCCCCCCCTGTTCCCCCGCACCCTTTACCCCCCTTCATCCCACCCTCCCCCCTGACTTCCCAGAGCAAAATACAAGGTATTTCATTTAGTCAAACATAAACTAGATTAATCTACTTATCCTCAAAGTACTACCTCCCCCACTGAAACCTTAACTCCCCTATCGATAACCAAATACTTCTAATACTAACAGTCATTCATAAGCTATTTGATATTTTCTTGTCTGATAATTATTTTGAATATAATCAACCCATCTTCTCCATTCCAATACATATCTTTCTTGCGTGTGGTCCTTCAAATATGCCGAGATTTTCGTCATTTCTGCTAGGTTTGTTACTTTCAATGTCCACTCTTCAATAGTAGGCAAAGAGTCTTTCTTCCAATATTGAGCTACCAGCAGCCTAGCTGCTGATATTAAGTTCAAAATCAGTTTAGTCTCTAAAGCTGTACAGTCTGTAGTTATACCCAGTAGAAACAATTGAGGAGTAAATTTTAACCTTCTTTTCAAAATGTTCTGCATCACCCACCAAATTTTTATCCAAAATGCCTTGATTTTCTTGCAGGTCCACCATATATGGTAATAGGTTGCATCATTACATTCACATCTCCAACATTTAGCTTGCAAATTCGAGTACATACATGATAATTTCTTAGGATCTAAGTGCCATCTATAAAACATTTTATAAAAATTCTCTCTCAAATTTTGTGCTTGCATAAATTTAACATTTCTGACCCAAATCTTTTCCCACATTTC